GGAGCAGGAGAAGTTAACCGAAGAGATGATTGATAAGTGTTTGCCAAAAAACCAATATAATTATGTGGTTGATTGTAATAGTAATTGTGATGGTGATTGAGGAGAAACTGTTTATTATGAAAATGACCCAATGGAAGTAATGGCATTTAAACTTCGACATGCTAAAATATTAACTGAAAAGGGAAAACAAGGAACTCATTGAGAATTAAAAATGTTTCCTAACGGTCAGTGAATTAAGGTTCCGTTATATCCTTATAATAATGGTTCTCAACCAACTAAAATTCGTATTGCTAAATTAACCTTACAAACCGAGGGAGATTATTATTTTAATGGAAAAGGTTATTTTCCTACTATTCCCCATGAAACGGCTCATGCTGACCCAACCGTAATAAGGCACCCCAAATTTGAGTTTTGACGAGGAGGTTGAAAAGGAGGAAAAGCCGGAGAGGGACATGATAATATTTGAAGAAATAAAGCCCGTGAGTTTCATTATAAATTAGTTCGTTTAGGCTATGAAGAAAAAGTCAAATCAAGGTTTAAAGAATTAAGAAAGATAAAAGGGGAGGATGATGATAAATATAGTTAATGAAAATGGTTTTCTTTCGTTTGACAAAAGGGATTGCCACACGGATTAATTTTTCGACAATCAGAGCAAAGATAACCAATAATGGGACTTCTCATTTTCTCTTTTGAACTCTTTTGATATTCTTTTTTACAATATCCACATTTAACCATTACCATAATAATTCTATTTTATTTAAAATCTCTTTATATTTTCCCTCTATTTTTACCCCTTCTATACCAAAACACTCCACCAACTAAAATTAAACCAAAATGTCAACAAACCAATCCAACCAAATCACTCTCCAAGAAATCCATACCCGTCCCGAACTCTGAAAAGACAAAATCTACTATTTAGAACGGAACCCTTACTGAAATAACTCTTATAACTTTCTTCCTATTCCTAAAAAGTATGCTGAAATTATCCAAGAGTTTCAGCAAGAAATCGAAAAACAAAAAAAAGACCAAGAGCAAGCCGAAGAGACTAAACAGCAAGCCCAAACCCGAATAAATGAAATCTATTCCGAAATCAAAGCACTTATTCAGTCCCAAATTACAGCCTTGGAAAGCTCTTTTATAATTATTACCCCTGAAATACTAGCCACCGAGCAAGAAAAGCAAGTCCAAGTTCAGCAACTAATAGAAACTATTCAGGCTTGATTTCAAATTGAATGTAATTTTGTAGCCGAAAACCCGACCGAAAGGTGATATAAGCCCGAAGACTTACAACCCTATTTAAAAGAAACTAATTTTGAGAAGTTTAAAGAGTGAGAGCAAAAGTGAGGCAAAATTGTTAAAATTGAAACTTGAGAACCGACCGGAGAGGAATTAATTTTGGAAGGAACCGAAGCACCCGAACCTTACCGAGAAATATATTTATTAGAAGAGTGAGAAGAATTAAACGGAGGAAAATCCCCTCTTAAAAAAGAAGAAGTAGAAAACTATTTATTAAAGCAAACCGAGCAGCAAAAAGCCCAATTTATTAAAAACTTAAAATTAGGATTAACTAAAAAAAACCTAGGACAGTTTGCTAAATGAGTAAGTGAGAATAATATTGAACCTTTACAACCTTTATTAGATGAATGAAAAATTTGTGAGGGAACCATTAAGAAAAATTATAATAGTTGCTTTATTCTCGAACATACTAACGAACATTTAAAATTTACTTTTCAGCCTCCCCGACAAGTTTTCGTTAATTTAAATGAGTTCTTATTTTATCGGTCTAATACTTGATATGAAGTAGTTAGTTGGGAAAGAATAAATGCTTGAAATGCCGTAATTACTTGCCAAAGGAGTAAGTTTTTGAGTTATTATATTTATTTCTTACAAAAAGGACTAAATGGAGTATTACATAATTCTCCCCGAATATCCCAAGAAATCTGCCAATGCCCCTCTTTTTTAGAAAGCACTTATGCCGAAGAATATAGAAGTGATTGAGAACCCCGGTATGAATTATGAAAAATTACCAGTGCTGGGGGAACTAAGACAGCTATTCCCAAAGGAGATGATACTTATATGCCTTATCTTTCTTCGGTCAGTTTACAAAGGGTAGAAGATATAAGTGGTTGGGATAGTTTATCCGATACTACTTATATTATTCTTCCCAAAGGTTATAATGACCAAAGAACTTGGTGAAGTGATACCAGTTCAGGCTCAGGGAGGAAAATAAATTTTCAAAATGAAAGTAGTGGTTTGCTAACCGAGCAAAATTGAAGTAAAAATACTGGAAATGAACTAAACTCCCATACTAAAAAACATGTTTCGGTTCAACTTTTTTGACGAAAAAAATTATTAGGTGGTCCTTATAGTTTAAATGATTTTGATTTAAATGCTACCTATTTAAAAGTTAAGGCTAATGGGGCTTCTATTCTTTATACTTTACAATCTAATCGGATAATTATTCGGTGAAGTGAAGATATTAAAACTACTATCGAAAAAGATAAAATGGTTGGTATATTTACTGGTTTGCTTGAAAAATGGGCTGGGATTTCCTTAAATGAGGTTACTAAATCCTTATTTCACGACCAAAACACCGAAGAAAGCAAAGCCTCCGAAGAGAGAGAAAGTGAACGGAAGACTAAATATGCTGGGGCTAGTAAAATAGTATCCTCTACTATTGCTTCTATTCCAGCTATGTTTGCTTCCAACCATACTAAAATGGACTATACTTTTGCCGAAATTGCCTTACGATACGAACAACCCTCTTTACTAATCCGAATTCAATATAATCAAGTCCTTTTTGACCGATATAAAATGGAGAAACAATTAAAAAGGAACGGGAACGAATGGGTAAATTGAGAAAAAGCTGGAAATTATTTAGCTCAAAAAGGTTATTATAAATTAGTTCCTCATATTTTAGAAGGAGACAAAGATGGTTTTTTTGCTGGGATATTTAGCAAAGGAGTATACTTATATGAAGAACACCCTCACGAATACTATACTATTAAACTAGAAAGAGGAAAATATACTAATACTCTGTTAGTAGGAGGTAATCCCCAAGTGGAAAGTGTTTTCCAAAAAGATTTAGAGGAAACAGGGGGGCATGATAATATTTCCCAAAGTGGGGGAGGATTATGAGTTTATAAGAGTTCTTATGTCCGGAGGCAAGATGGAACCGGAGGGAATATTTTTGAAACTTTAATGGACCAAGCCAACCGTTATCGAAATCATTCTTACGAGGATAGTAGAAAGTGAGTATTTAAGCATCCTCAAACTTGAAGCACGGAAATAAACATGGATGAATATGCTGTTTATACTTATGACCTTAATTTTTTCAGTTCCGACCATAAAAACACCCACGGAGTAAAAGGAGCTAACAAAATTATAGCCGAACAAATTGCCGAAGGTAATCGGTCGACCATTAAAGTCAGATTTATTGGAGAGTTAGAAATTAGGCAAGGACAGGACGACCCCAATGAAATAGGCAAAAGTTTACCAGGAGGAACTGAAATAGAAGAAATACCCGAAATTGAAAAGGAAGAGAATGATGACTTATTAAATGATTTAGAAAAACAAGAAGAAGGCAAAGAAGAAGAAAGTCCCGAAAAACAACCCGAGGATGAATTAGAACCCGAACCCGAAGCCCAAAAAGAGGATGAAAAACAAGAAGAATTAGAACCCGAAGAGCAAAAAAATAAGGACAAACAAAAACAAAAGCAGAAACAAAAAGAAAGGCAACCGGAGGAAGAGGATGAACCTGAATATAGTGGAAACAAAGAAAAATAAAAAGGCTATGACCGAAGGCTTTTGGCTTTTTATTAAACAACGAAATATAAAAGACAATGACTAACAAACATATTAACTGACCAGAAATTTATAATTACCCTGCTTTATTCCATATTTACTTTACGGCTCGGAAAAGAGGTAAATCCGATACCAAAGGCTGAACTTTCCTCCAAGCTATTATTAGCACTTCGGAAATCCGTTTTGCTTGAATTAGAAGAAGATGGCATGATAGTCTTTTGTCTACTAAACCCTTTTTTGAAGATTTAGTTTATAAGTTCTGTGAAGAAAAAGGACTTAATCCTAATCACTT